CCTTTCCATTTATTTTCATCTTTGATTTCTTACATCATTACCTTATACCTTTCAGAGTAGAGATCTTTCCCCTTCATGGTTAAGTTTATTCCCAACTATTTTATTGTTTCTGTTGCTATTGTAAATGAGATCATTTTATTTTTCAGATGATTTGTTGTTAGTGTATAGAAACGCTACTGATTTTTGTACGTTAATTTTGCATCCTGCAGTTTTATTGAGTTTGTTGGTTAGATCTAACAGGTTTTTTTTGATGGAGTCTTTAGGATTTTCTATATATAAAATTATGTCATTTACAAATAGAGACAACTCTACTTATTCCTTTCCAATTCTGATGCCTTGTGTTTCATTCCTGATTGTTCTGGCAAGGACTTCTAGCACTGTGTTGAATAGGAATGGTGAGAGTGGGAGCTCTCGTTCCTGATCTTAGAGGAAAACTTACAGCCATCATCACTGAGTATGACGTTAGCTGTGAGCTTATATATGGCTTTTATTATGTTGAGTTACATTCCTTTTATACATAATTTGTTAATAGTTTTTATCATGAACAGATGCTGAATTTTATCAAATGCTTTTTCTGCATCTTTCGAGATGATCTTATGATATTTTTTCAGTTCTATTAATGTGCTATATCACATTGATTAGTAGAGGTTGAACCATCTTTTTATCCCAGGTGTAAATCCTACTTGATCATGGTGAATGATTATTTTAATGTACTGCTGAATTCGACTTGCTGGTATTTTACTGAGTTTTTACATCCATCTATTCATCAGGGATATTGGTCTGTAGTTTTCTTTTCTGATAGTGTCCTTTTCTGGCTTTGGTTTCAGGGTACTGCTAGCCTCCTGAAATGAGTTTGGGAGCATTCCTTTTCAGTTTTTTTTTTGGAAGAGTTTGAAAAGGATTGGCATTGATTCTTCTTTTCAAGAAGAAACATTTCATGTTTAGTAAAATTCACCAGTGTAGCCATCTCATGCTGGGCTTTTCCTTCATTGGGAGATTTTTGATTACTGATTCAATCTTCTTACTAGTAATTGCTATTCAAACTTCTCTGTTTCTTCCTGATTCCATTATGGTAGTTTGTATGTTTCTTTTTTTAAAGTTTTTTTTTTTTTTAATGTTTATTTTTGAGAGAGACAGAGACGGAGCGTGAGTGGGGGAGGGGAAGAGAGAGAGGGAGACACAGAATCTGAAACAGGCTCCAGGCTCTGAGCTGTCAGCACAGAGCCCGATGCGGGGCTTGAACTCATGGACTGTGAGATCATGACTTGAACTGAAGTCGGACGCCCAACCGACTGAGCCACCCAAGTGCCCCAGTTTGTATGTTTCTAAGACTTTTTCCATTTCTTCTCGGTTGTCTGGTTTGTTGGTGTATAGTTGTTCATAGTACCCTCTTATGATCCTTTGTATTTCTGTGGTGTCAAATGTAATGTCTCCTCTTTCATTTATAGTTTTGTGGGTTTGGGTCCTCTGTCATTTTTCCATGGTTAGTCAGTCTAGGCTAAAGTTTTGTCAATTTTGTCTTTCCAAAGAATCAACTCTTAGGTTGGTTAATCTTTTTTATTGTTTTCTGTTCTCTATTTCATTTACTTTTTCTCTAATCTTTATAATTTCCTTCCTTCTGCTAACTTTGGGTCCTTTCATTTTTCTGGTTTCTTAAAGTGTAGAAACTTAGGTTGTTTATTTGAGATCTTTCTTTTTAATGTAGGCATTTGTTATGAACTTTCCTCTTAGAACTGTATCCCATAAGTTTTAGTATGTTGTACTTCCATTTTCATTTGTTTCAAGATACATTTTTATTTCCTGTTTAATGTCTTCTTTGATTTATTGATTGTTCAGGAGTGAGATTTTCAGTGACTGATGCAGTCTTCCTTACTAGTTATGGGTCTTTTCAGATTTTCTGTTTCTTTGGGATTCAGTCTTGGTAGGTTTTATGTTTCTAGGAATTTGTCCATTACATCTGGGTTATCCAATTTGTTGGCATACAGTTACTCATAGTACTCTCCTATAATCCTTTTTTTATTTCTGTAAAATTGATAATTTCCCACTTTTCTTTCTAATTTTGAGTCTTCTTTTTTTTCCCCTAGTCCACTTAAAAATTTAATTTTGTGAATCTTTCTAAAGAACCAATTTTTTATTTCACTGATTTTTCTCAATATTTTTATTCACTATTTTATTTATCTGCCCTAATGTTTACTTTTTCTTCCTTCTGGTAGCTTGGGTTCAGTTTATTCTTTTTCTACTTCCTTAAGTTGTGAAGTCAGGCTGTTGATTTGAGATCTTCCTTCCTTTTTAATGTAAGCACTTATAGCTATAAATTCACTCTTAGCCCTGTTTTTCTTGAGTCCTTAAGTTTTGGTATGTTGTAGTTTTATTTTCATTCATCTCTTAATACAGTCTGATTTATGATTTTTTTTTCTTTGACCCATTGGTTATTTAAAAGTTTTAATTTCCACAAATTTGTGAATTTTTCAGTTTTCCTTTCGTTCCTTTTTGATTTCAAACTTCATCCCATTGTGGTCAGAAAAGATACATTGTGTGATATCTATGTCTCTTTTTGTTTTAAAAAAGTGTGTATAAAAAAATAAAAAATAAAAAAGTGTATATATATACATATACTTTTATGTATATGTATATATGTATACATATGTGTATATGTATGTGTATATATATATATATATATGTATGTACATACGGGCTGTTTTTAGAGCAATTTTAGGTTCACAGCAAAATTGAGCAATAGGTTCAGAGATTTCTCATTTACTCCCCTTTAAAAAATCTATTGAGAGTTAATCTGTGGCTTAGCAAATGATCCATCCTGGAAAATTTCCCATGTACACTTGAGAAGAATGTGTATTCTGCTGCTGTTGGGTAGAATGTTCTGTATATATTTATATATCTAGTTGGTTTATTGTGGTGCTCAGGTCCTCTCTTAAGTATCTTTTGTCTGGTCATTTTAACCATTATTGAGAGTGAGGTATTGAAGTCTCTGTTATTGGAGAATGGTTTATTTCCCCCTTCAATGGTGTCAATTATTGCTTTGCATATTTGAAGATTATTGTTAATGATCTTACCAGTTGTACTCTTACTGAGTACATTTATTAAAGAGTATCATTATTAAAACCAGGAAATCGACACTACCCTATAACCGACAGACCTCATTCAGATTTCATCAGCTATCCCACAAATGTCCTTATTTGGGGACCAGGATCCAATCCAAGATCATAAATTGTACTTAGTCACTCTTATCTCCTTCATCTCCATTAATCTGGCACAGTTCCCGAGTCTTTGTTTTTCATAACCTCGACACTTGAAGAGTACTTTTTTGTTATTTTGCAGAATGCCCCTCAGTTTGGGTTTATGTGCTATTTTCTCATGGTTAAATTCAAGTCAGTGGTGTTTTGGCAAGAATACCAGGAGGGCAGTGTTGTGTCCTTTTCAGGGCATCATATTAGTAGGCACATGATGTTTATGTGTTTCATTAGGCTTGATCACTTGGTTAGGGAAGTGTCTTCATGGTTTCTACACTGTTACACTGTTTCCCCCCTTTTAATTTATGTGTGTCCTTTGGGGAGATACCTTGAGACTATGTAAATATTTTGTTTCTCTTCCTAATTTCACCCACGAATTTTAGCATCCATTAGAATTCTTTCCTGAAACAGTTATTGTTGTGCTGAGGAAGTGGTGATTTTTTTATTTTTATCATTTTTTTCTACAGTTATTAATAGGAATTCTACAGAAGTACTTTTCCCTCTTCCCCATTCATTTATTCAGTTATTTATTTAAAACACTGTGGGGGTAAAAAAAAAAATTAAAAATAAAAATAAAAAAATAAAACACTGTGGGGGTGCCTGGGTGGCTCAGTCCGTTGAGCATCTGACTTCGGCT